ATATATATATATTATGTGAGCTGTTTTTTTTATATTTGTGACCCTGGACCACAAAACCAGTCTTAAGTCGCTGGGGTATATTTGTAGAAATAGCCAAAAATACATTGTATGGTCTATGGGATTTTTCTTTTATGCCAAAAATCATTAGGATATTAAGTAAAGATCATGTTCCATGAAGATATTTAGTAAATTTCCTTACCGTAAATATATCAAAACTGAATTTTTGATTAGTAATATGCATTGCTAAGGACTTCATTTGAACAACTTTAAAGGGGATTTTCTCAATATTTAGATTTTTTTGCACCCTCAGATTACAGATTTTCTAATAATTATATCTTGACCAAATATTGTAACAAACCATACATCAATGAAAAGCTTATTTATTCAGCTTTCAGATGATGTATAAATCTCAATTTTGAAAAATTGACCCTTATGACTGGTTTTGTGGTCCAGGGTCACATTTATATTTTTTTAGGTAACCCTAATACCACAATTTGGGATTTAATAAAGCATTAAACGTTAAATATGCATAACATTTAGATAAATAAAAAAGAAATTAATAAAAAAACAAACACAAACACACACTCATATACAGTATATATATATCTGGTCTGATTTAGGGAAAGAAGGAAAGGACTAATTGTGTAGAGCTATGACGTAATTGGTGGAAGAAATATTGAGTTACTTTAGTAAAGTACTTTCAGTAACTACTAATAGTGCATTGAGGAAAAACTGCATGCATTTAAAACCTTAAGTAAAAGTATTATCTTGCATACTGTAATGTACTTAATGTATGAAGAGTAAAAATAAAGGTATGATATGATGGTCTGGCATTAATATTACTGCTGCACTACTGTGTATGTTGCATTTTACTTCTGTATATGTTCAAGGTTGTTACATTTAAAATACCTTATATAATGTTGGGCAGTTTAATGTACAACAGTGCATCATATTGTAAAAGACCATGTTTTTGTAGTGTTGCTCTCCTGTGAGGAAAAAAAACTCAGTACTTCTCATATGCGAATACTTAAAGAATGCATTTAGTTACACTCAACCACTTTGTTATTTGCAAATGAAATGAACAAAGTTTATTGCTAGAATATTAACAAATAGTTGCTAATTACAGCTTTTGAAAGGACTCGGACCGGTCTAGCCTACGGAGGAATGTTCTTATTGCCTAGCAACTGTGACATCTGCCATTGACGAGCGGCAGTAACGTTTGTAAGTGGACTTTTTATTTTCAACTGCATAAAACTAAACAGGGTTGAAAACCTATTTAAATATGTTCACCATGGTCCATTTATGTACATAATCAATAATAGAATAAACTACATAAAATCGCATTTTGGTAAGATATGTCAACATTTAACCGCTTTATATATATATATATATATTATTATATATATATTTTTTCATATCATTACAATATCCCAAGTCGAAACCCAATACTTACATTTAAAGTGTAATTTAGTTATTAAAACTCAAAAACTAACAATTCAGGCTCAGAATGGCAGCTCTCTTCTCGCACCGTTGTTATGTGACAGAGCGGCGATCAAGAACTGCTGGTGGTGCAATCAGGAAATCCTGCGAAGGATGGACTCGAAGCGTCCTTCGAAGGCCATGTCGGCCGGATTCCTTCGAAGGACCCATCCTTCGTAGGCTGTAACTTACGAATTGGGATGCAGCTACGGTGTTGTTGAGAGTAAAAATACCTTCCTTGTTTACATCCCTGTTTCAGTCTCTTTCAATATAAAAGTCTTTACTGCTGACTCACTCATAAAAACAGTCTCTTGTCAGCATCTAATGGCGGAACAATGTAACTAATCACCATCATGAACACACTCACCATTTCCAAGTACTAAATATTATAATTACATACTACTATTATTTATATAAAATATTATTTATTGAATAATACTATTTAATAAACAATAACAACAGCCATCAAGCAATTCAGTCAAAAGTACAAAGGCAGCGCTCTGATATACAGCATTAAAGTTACATAGAATATAGCATGATGAGATTTTGCCCTTTGCCAAAACTTTTTGCTCTGGAACAAATAATAGATTAATGAGACAACAGACTGCCAATTAGATTTACCCAAAACAAACTATATATTATGTTTAATCACTATAGAGACATCAGAGCCAGCAGCAAATTCCAGAAAATCTGGAGGCTGCTCTCAGCAGGTTGATGAACGCTGGATGCCCGCTGGTGCCCTGGATTATAAAATTAATGTGGATTTGGGCATCCGCCATGACACCAGCTGTGGTAAATATCTCAAACGGAGTGAAACAAATGGTGAAATGGCTTGAGTTCTGATATCACTTGAATATCGCACCACACACTCACACACTCATATACAGTATATATATATATATATATATATATATATATATATATATATATATATATATATATATATATATACGAATGAATTTGTACCTTGATTTGTACTTTAAAAAAAATAACCAGCTGATACTGTATTTGTGGAAGGTGCCAAATGTTGTCAAGCCTGAACAACCAACAAATGATTATCTACTGCTTTAATGCTGGAAGTGAATGTCTTCTCGAGTAGAATTTGAAGCACTTGTGGGTCAAACGGTTGCATTGGCCATCGACCGCTGTCCCAGTTCCATGTTCAGGGCTCCTCATGGTTGTGTGATTGATTCTGCAGTGTGACGGGCAGTACATCCCACTCCCCAGTCTCCAGGGAATCGCTGTGCTGAACATCCCCAGCTACGCCGGGGGAACCAACTTCTGGGGCGGCACCAAAGAGGATGACGTAAGTCATGGTGCTGGAGGTCATGAGGGTTTGTTCTCATCAAACAGCATTTCCCGCCTGACTGAAGAGTTGAAATATGACACCATGTAGAGAAGAAATTATGTATGTAGAGTTGTTTAATTAAGAGGATGAGCAGACCCTGTGTTGTCTCCTGTTGTTTAACGTGCAGCTGGCTCTGGACAAAACCTTTTGAACCCAGAGTGACACGGGTCTTTGTTCGCAACAAGTGGCCTTTTGGCAGCTGGTTTGTTTTAGCTCACATGGCCTTGTTCAGAATGAGGTTACCTCCGGACACGGTTTGAGTGCTACAAGGTCTGGTTAAAGAAAGGCAGAGTGCAGAACGCTTAGATGCCTGTGATCTAGGACAGGACATTCGAGGACTCAGTTCAAAAAAGTGTTTTTATCTTCTTCTTTTTTTCTTTTTTTTAGAAATAGAAGACTATTTAACCCTAAAAAGCCTGACATATGAAATAATAGTCTGAAAATGTATATATTTTTTTAATGGAATAGTTTATTGAACCTTTAGACAAAATCTTAAATCAGGCTTTTATGACTCATATAGAATGATATAGTAAGAATTATGGACCTCACACCTGAGATGGAAAAACACATTTCATTCAGAGGCACAAACTGAGCAAAAATGTGAAATTTGATGCAGATGTTGTTATTTATATGGCCAAAAAGTAAAATGAAATGTTGATAGCTTGTAATGTTAATCGATGAAAGCTTCATAACAGTATAGCAGACTACTGACATACTGTAAAATGCATATAAATATCAGTTGTCACTCTGTATCTCCCAATAATATGTCTTAGTAAGGTTATATTTAAAACTCAATTTTGTGGTCAAAGCTCTGTAGTTTTTATTTTGGAGGCAAAACTAAAATATAATGCAGAGAGAGAGATACAAATAAACGCTCTTCAAAAGCCTGATGTATCATAGCCTGTTCGATACTCACATTTTAACATGATTTTTCTAAAAAATTATATATGGATAATCAAGTAAAGTTGCTTCAGTTGAGTAAGTATTCATCTTGAAATATTACTTATAAATGTTACTCTTATTATAAAAGTCAGTAAATATTTCACAGCAAAACACACATGTACCATAACCTGAAAGGGAACATTTTTACAACTATAATAAAATGCCTTTTACTTGCTAAAAAAGTTTAAACTATCAAGCAGATGACAGAGAGCATGTAGTAGACTGTGTACAAGAGACAGGAGACAAAATTTTGATCGTGTTGATAATAGGCCTTAGAAATGTGTGTATCAAATATGATAGGCTTTATAGGGTTAATAGTTTTTTAGGAGAAATAGTTTTTTTTTCTTCATTAAGAATCTTGAGTGTGAGCCTGTACGGAGCCACCTAGTGGTGATGAGCTATTTTCATGATTATTGTTTTTTTTGTCTTTTCATGCAGATATTTTGTGCCCCTTCATTCGATGACAAAATTTTGGAAGTGGTCGCTGTGTTTGGTAGTATGCAGATGGCTGTCTCGAGGGTGATCAAACTGCAGCATCACCGTATTGCACAGGTAAACACACCTCACACGAATGACACAGATCTGTAAAGGATGTTAATTATGGGGATAGAGTGAGTAACCTCTCCTCACCCCTCCCAGTGTCGCACGGTGAAGATCACCATCCTGGGAGATGAAGGAGTGCCGGTCCAGGTGGATGGAGAAGCCTGGATTCAACCTCCTGGAGTCATCAAGATTCAGCACAAGAACCGGGCCCAGATGCTGACAAGAGACAGGGTGAGTGTTTCTGGGGAATTTATTTCCACAATATTACCATAAAACAGTGGAACAGAACAGTTAAAGCAATGGTCGGCAACCCGTCGATCTGGTAGGTCTTTATCACTGTCCCAGTAGATGTCCGAAAATAACAGAAAAATAAGTACAAAAGTCTTTGTACTGTATTTTTTTGTAAATATTTTCTGTTATTTTTGGGAGCTTCTGGGACAGTGATAAAGAATACATCATGCCTGAGTTAACAGAGGCCAGAGACGCTAAAGACGGACACAAAGAGGAGAAAATACTGTAACAGACAGAGCAAGATCACTGTTCAGGATGCGCAAAATATGGGAAGAAAATATAAATACTGAATTGGGGGTGAGGAGTTATATGAATGTATCACTGAAAGGAACTGACTGTCTTTAGAAATGTTTCGATGGCAATGGAATTTTCTTCCTCTTACCTCTGTATCCACCTTTTTCTTCATTTTTTTTACTCTATGGGTCTGGCTTCCGGTCTAATCCCCATCTAGCTATTTTTAGCTGTACAACTAAAACAGTTCGTTTCGCTGCTTGATATTGGAAATTTGTGTGTCTTACCATATTATTTTAATGTATTATCTTAATTATGAACACACTGGTTTGTAGTGCAAACAGTTTTACCGTTTATTGCATGTTGTTATTCTTCTCGTTACTTACCTATAGCGGCTAATGAACCGGAAGTCTCGCCCATAGGCTTAGCTCCACTTTGAAGAAAAAGGTGGATAGAGTGGGGGAGCTATAACGTCAGAATCCGGAAAAGTAATTTGCCGCGGGTTTCTTTGAGATTTTCCTATGGCGTTTTATAATGGGGTTTTTCAATTTATGAAAATCTCGAAGAAACCCACAGCGAATTACACTTCCGGATTCTCACATCATAGTTCCCCCACTCTATTTATAAGCAGCGCTGCTTTGTTTACAGCGATAACCAAGAAAACGGCATATCGCTGCTGTTCCATAAGCGCCACCTGCTGTCAGAGAGTGAATTTGCATTTTCATGCAGCCTGTCTGCTTTTTTTGTTTTCGTGCGGATATGTTTTTATGTAGCATAATTTCACAATGATAAAGTCAAACCGTTCTGTTTTTGCATCTTTGTTTGGATCGTGATTAAAATGCAGTGGTTTCCTCTGATTTCAAATGGCTACAGCTATTTTTGTTTAAGGCTTGTTTGCTTGTTATAGAGCAAATAAACAATAAAAATAATCGGCAACCAGTATAGGAATTGGCTTGTTAAAAAAAAAAGAGAAAGAAAAAAAAGAATCTGAATCGGCCATAAAAAAAATCATGATCGGTGCATCACTAATTAAAATACTAAATAAAAGGCCTCAAATTGGAAGTACGATCTGAGCTGTCTTTTTCTATCAATTCTTCAATAGATCATGTCTTTCATAGAGGCCGAGGTCAGGGATCTTGGGCTTAAAAAGGTTGGTGACCACTGAGGAATATTTCATCCAAAGTGGCTTCATTAACACTTGCGTTCAAAAGTTTGGGATCGGTAAGATTTTTTAAATGTTGTTGAAGGAAGTCACTTCTGCTCACTAAGACTGCAGTAATTTGATCAAATATACAGTAAAACAGTAATATTGTGAAATATTACATTTAAAATAATTATTTCAAAGATTCATAATTGTTGAAAACAGCTGTGCTGTTTAATATTTTGGTGGAAACTGTAATATACTTTCTGAGAGTCTTTGATGAATCAAAATTTCAAAAGAACGGCATTTATTTAAAACAGAAATCTTTATCTTAAAACATTATAAACATCTTCACTTGTCACTTTTGATCGATGTATATGCCCTTGATGAATAAAAGTATTAATTATTATTTTTTTTTAATTCTTATTGACCCCAAACTTTTGAACAGTAATGTTTGCATATATGTTTTTGAATATATCATATTTGATATAAATAGCACCTCAGTTTTATTCAGAGACCCAACCTGAGGCAAAATATACAATTTGGTGCAGATGTTGATATTTATATGGTCAAAAAGTAAGATGAAATTCTGCTTGTTATATAAATCAATGAGATTTTTATAACAGTATAGAAGACTGCTTACATAAAATGCATATACGTAAATATCAGTTGCCCCTCGATTATCTGTCTTAGTGAGATGGTTTTGAAGTGTCAATGTGTATATCCTTGCTAAACTACACTCACTGTCATTTAAATGAGTCTTTTTCATTAAAGGCATTTGAAAACACGCTGAAGTCTTGGGAGGATAAACTGAAATACGACAAGCCTCCGCTGAGGCCGCCCCTGTATCCTCAGCACTCTGTGGATCTGGCCACAGAAGAGGAGGCCACGCTCATCCAGATGTGCGCTCGAGCTGCAGAGGATCTCTGTGTGATTGATTCTGCAGTGTGACGGGCAGTACATCCCACTCCCCAGTCTCCAGGGAATCGCTGTGCTGAACATCCCCAGCTACGCCGGGGGAACCAACTTCTGGGGCGGCACCAAAGAGGATGACGTAAGTCATGGTGCTGGAGGTCATGAGGGTTTGTTCTCATCAAACAGCATTTCCCGCCTGACTGAAGAGTTGAAATATGACACCATGTAGAGAAGAAATTATGTATGTAGAGTTGTTTAATTAAGAGGATGAGCAGACCCTGTGTTGTCTCCTGTTGTTTAACGTGCAGCTGGCTCTGGACAAAACCTTTTGAACCCAGAGTGACACGGGTCTTTGTTCGCAACAAGTGGCCTTTTGGCAGCTGGTTTGTTTTAGCTCACATGGCCTTGTTCAGAATGAGGTTACCTCCGGACACGGTTTGAGTGCTACAAGGTCTGGTTAAAGAAAGGCAGAGTGCAGAACGCTTAGATGCCTGTGATCTAGGACAGGACATTCGAGGACTCAGTTCAAAAAAGTGTTTTTATCTTCTTCTTTTTTTCTTTTTTTTAGAAATAGAAGACTATTTAACCCTAAAAAGCCTGACATATGAAATAATAGTCTGAAAATGTATATATTTTTTTAATGGAATAGTTTATTGAACCTTTAGACAAAATCTTAAATCAGGCTTTTATGACTCATATAGAACGATATAGTAAGAATTATGGACCTCACACCTGAGATGGAAAAACACATTTCATTCAGAGGCACAAACTGAGCAAAAATTTGAAATTTGATGCAGATGTTGTTATTTATATGGCCAAAAAGTAAAATGAAATGTTGATAGCTTGTAATGTTAATCGATGAAAGCTTCATAACAGTATAGCAGACTACTGACATACTGTAAAATGCATATAAATATCAGTTGTCACTCTGTATCTCCCAATAATATGTCTTAGTAAGGTTATATTTAAAACTCAATTTTGTGGTCAAAGCTCTGTAGTTTTTATTTTGGAGGCAAAACTAAAATATAATGCAGAGAGAGAGATACAAATAAACGCTCTTCAAAAGCCTGATGTATCATAGCCTGTTCGATACTCACATTTTAACATGATTTTTCTAAAAAATTATATATGGATAATCAAGTAAAGTTGCTTCAGTTGAGTAAGTATTCATCTTGAAATATTACTTATAAATGTTACTCTTATTATAAAAGTCAGTAAATATTTCACAGCAAAACACACATGTACCATAACCTGAAAGGGAACATTTTTACAACTATAATAAAATGCCTTTTACTTGCTAAAAAAGTTTAAACTATCAAGCAGATGACAGAGAGCATGTAGTAGACTGTGTACAAGAGACAGGAGACAAAATTTTGATCGTGTTGATAATAGGCCTTAGAAATGTGTGTATCAAATATGATAGGCTTTATAGGGTTAATAGTTTTTTAGGAGAAATAGTTTTTTTTTCTTCATTAAGAATCTTGAGTGTGAGCCTGTACGGAGCCACCTAGTGGTGATGAGCTATTTTCATGATTATTGTTTTTTTTGTCTTTTCATGCAGATATTTTGTGCCCCTTCATTCGATGACAAAATTTTGGAAGTGGTCGCTGTGTTTGGTAGTATGCAGATGGCTGTCTCGAGGGTGATCAAACTGCAGCATCACCGTATTGCACAGGTAAACACACCTCACACGAATGACACAGATCTGTAAAGGATGTTAATTATGGGGATAGAGTGAGTAACCTCTCCTCACCCCTCCCAGTGTCGCACGGTGAAGATCACCATCCTGGGAGATGAAGGAGTGCCGGTCCAGGTGGATGGAGAAGCCTGGATTCAACCTCCTGGAGTCATCAAGATTCAGCACAAGAACCGGGCCCAGATGCTGACAAGAGACAGGGTGAGTGTTTCTGGGGAATTTATTTCCACAATATTACCATAAAACAGTGGAACAGAACAGTTAAAGCAATGGTCGGCAACCCGTCGATCTGGTAGGTCTTTATCACTGTCCCAGTAGATGTCCGAAAATAACAGAAAAATAAGTACAAAAGTCTTTGTACTGTATTTTTTTGTAAATATTTTCTGTTATTTTTGGGAGCTTCTGGGACAGTGATAAAGAATACATCATGCCTGAGTTAACAGAGGCCAGAGACGCTAAAGACGGACACAAAGAGGAGAAAATACTGTAACAGACAGAGCAAGATCACTGTTCAGGATGCGCAAAATATGGGAAGAAAATATAAATACTGAATTGGGGGTGAGGAGTTATATGAATGTATCACTGAAAGGAACTGACTGTCTTTAGAAATGTTTCGATGGCAATGGAATTTTCTTCCTCTTACCTCTGTATCCACCTTTTTCTTCATTTTTTTTACTCTATGGGTCTGGCTTCCGGTCTAATCCCCATCTAGCTATTTTTAGCTGTACAACTAAAACAGTTCGTTTCGCTGCTTGATATTGGAAATTTGTGTGTCTTACCATATTATTTTAATGTATTATCTTAATTATGAACACACTGGTTTGTAGTGCAAACAGTTTTACCGTTTATTGCATGTTGTTATTCTTCTCGTTACTTACCTATAGCGGCTAATGAACCGGAAGTCTCGCCCATAGGCTTAGCTCCACTTTGAAGAAAAAGGTGGATAGAGTGGGGGAGCTATAACGTCAGAATCCGGAAAAGTAATTTGCCGCGGGTTTCTTTGAGATTTTCCTATGGCGTTTTATAATGGGGTTTTTCAATTTATGAAAATCTCGAAGAAACCCACAGCGAATTACACTTCCGGATTCTCACATCATAGTTCCCCCACTCTATTTATAAGCAGCGCTGCTTTGTTTACAGCGATAACCAAGAAAACGGCATATCGCTGCTGTTCCATAAGCGCCACCTGCTGTCAGAGAGTGAATTTGCATTTTCATGCAGCCTGTCTGCTTTTTTTGTTTTCGTGCGGATATGTTTTTATGTAGCATAATTTCACAATGATAAAGTCAAACCGTTCTGTTTTTGCATCTTTGTTTGGATCGTGATTAAAATGCAGTGGTTTCCTCTGATTTCAAATGGCTACAGCTATTTTTGTTTAAGGCTTGTTTGCTTGTTATAGAGCAAATAAACAATAAAAATAATCGGCAACCAGTATAGGAATTGGCTTGTTAAAAAAAAAAGAGAAAGAAAAAAAAGAATCTGAATCGGCCATAAAAAAAATCATGATCGGTGCATCACTAATTAAAATACTAAATAAAAGGCCTCAAATTGGAAGTACGATCTGAGCTGTCTTTTTCTATCAATTCTTCAATAGATCATGTCTTTCATAGAGGCCGAGGTCAGGGATCTTGGGCTTAAAAAGGTTGGTGACCACTGAGGAATATTTCATCCAAAGTGGCTTCATTAACACTTGCGTTCAAAAGTTTGGGATCGGTAAGATTTTTTAAATGTTGTTGAAGGAAGTCACTTCTGCTCACTAAGACTGCAGTAATTTGATCAAATATACAGTAAAACAGTAATATTGTGAAATATTACATTTAAAATAATTATTTCAAAGATTCATAATTGTTGAAAACAGCTGTGCTGTTTAATATTTTGGTGGAAACTGTAATATACTTTCTGAGAGTCTTTGATGAATCAAAATTTCAAAAGAACGGCATTTATTTAAAACAGAAATCTTTATCTTAAAACATTATAAACATCTTCACTTGTCACTTTTGATCGATGTATATGCCCTTGATGAATAAAAGTATTAATTATTATTTTTTTTTAATTCTTATTGACCCCAAACTTTTGAACAGTAATGTTTGCATATATGTTTTTGAATATATCATATTTGATATAAATAGCACCTCAGTTTTATTCAGAGACCCAACCTGAGGCAAAATATACAATTTGGTGCAGATGTTGATATTTATATGGTCAAAAAGTAAGATGAAATTCTGCTTGTTATATAAATCAATGAGATTTTTATAACAGTATAGAAGACTGCTTACATAAAATGCATATACGTAAATATCAGTTGCCCCTCGATTATCTGTCTTAGTGAGATGGTTTTGAAGTGTCAATGTGTATATCCTTGCTAAACTACACTCACTGTCATTTAAATGAGTCTTTTTCATTAAAGGCATTTGAAAACACGCTGAAGTCTTGGGAGGATAAACTGAAATACGACAAGCCTCCGCTGAGGCCGCCCCTGTATCCTCAGCACTCTGTGGATCTGGCCACAGAAGAGGAGGCCACGCTCATCCAGATGTGCGCTCGAGCTGCAGAGGATCTCATCACCAGGATCTGTGAGGCTGCCAAAAACTACCAACTCCTCGAGCAGGAGCTGGCCCACGCCGTCAACGCCTCCTCACACGCCATCAACAAAACACACCCCAAGTTCCCCGAGGTGAGCAATGCCAGCACTCAAGGACTGTTCACACCAGTGCCACCGATGTTTTATGAATTTTCATCATTCTCTGAAGGAGTTGATCGGCCTCCATACAACTACAAAAATCGACTTTGTCTCCAAATAAATCTATGACACCATCACACAATTATAATTTGGGTTTGGTGTGAAAGAGTTCATACTACTGTACTGATTTTTTTTCCCCAAAGCACATATAATTGCTTAATCAACCTCAGAGCTAATGATAGTTTTGTATGAAAATCTGTGGCTCTTTTGAGAAAATAGATGGTGTGTTTACTGCTCTGTGGTCCTCATAGTTCAAATAAGTCACATAGTTATGAGTAAATCATCACGTCCGATTCATCTGTTCTCCTCAGAGCCTGACAAGAAACACTGCCATTGAGGTGGCCAGCACCGTGAAGGCCCTGCACAATGAGACTGAGTCGCTGCTAGTAGGACGAGTGCCATTGGTGAGTTGATTTAGTGCCTTTAAAAGGGATAGTTCACCCAAAAATGAAAATTTGATGTTTATCTGCTTACCCCCAGGGCATCCAAGATGTAGGTGGACGGCTAATCAAAATGGTACTTACTTGCGCTTATCCGGATTGTTCAAACCGACTTAAAACTAAAAGATTACGTTCTCTCACGCGAACTCATTCGGGAGTGGTGACTTTCCACGAATTCCCAACTTCTGAGCCTGCTCGCCTGAAGTTATGGTTGATTGCTCGTCGGCTGGATATCAACACACCCATTAACGGTAACTACGCCAGAGCGTGTATACACCTCACATACCGGATGACGTGCGCACGCCCAAAGACAGTTGGACATAGTGGTGTATTAGAGGTAAAAAAATATATATAAATTCTGTTCGGTTTCTGGCACAAACTGATCATTTCGTGTCTTAGGACATCATTGTGTCGTCACGAGCCGCAGGGTTTAATTTGGATTTGTCTGTGCATGTTTTTTTTACTCTCATATATTTTGTTACCATTGCCATGCATTATACGACTGATAGACTGCAGCCGAGAAGCATCTGATACAAAGCTTATTCTTAAAGGAATAGTTCACCCAGAAATGAATTCATGTACTCACCCTCAGCCCATCAAAGATGTAGATCTGAGTTTGAGTTTGTTTCTTCAGCAGAACAGATTTGGAGGAATTTAGCATTACATCACTTGCTCACCAATGTCACCAGTTAGACCAACACAAAGCCATGAAATGGAGTGAGATGCCAGCTTATCTTGTGAGCAGTGATGGCTCTGAAAGAGCTCTCTGTCATCATTGACTCAGTCTTTGAGTTTATTTCTGTAGCAACTGGACCCTCCGCATGAAGAGCTGCTGTCCAGTGCCCTGCAGAGCGTTGAGGTTGAACTGGGCAAGCTGGCTGAGATCCCCTGGCTCTACCACATCTTACAGCCCAATGACGAGGAGGTGAGCAGCAAACGGAATGTGCCTAGATGTATACAGAGAAACCATATTATTTAGCCATCTACCTAAGCTTGTTCCCTACAGGGATAGTTTTAAAAAATGGACATTGTGGCATCATTTATTCACCCTCGTTTCATTACAAACCTGTGTAACCTTTTTTTCTCTTCTGTGAAACACAATGGAACATAGTTTTTACCATACAGTGAAAGTCAATGATGTTCGAACTCTTGACGTTCTTTCTAATATCTTCTTTTGTAAAGAAAATCTTTTGTTGTTTTGAAAATATCTACTTTCCAAAATGTCAACTACTCTAATATGTATACATAAACTACCATTCAGATGTATGGGGCAGAGTTAATAGAGTTAACTGAAACGAAAACCATTAAAAATAATTTTTGTTACTTAAATAAAATAAACGTTAATAAAATAAAATATATTAAAAAACTAATAGCCAAGGAGACATTTCTCATTTTTATTTAGTTTAACTTAATATACTAAAATAACTAAAACTGAAATAAAAATTATTATATAGACCTATTAAAAAAAATACAAAAAACACTAATTGAACTAATTGAAAATATCAATAAAATCTACAATAGTATATCTAAAAGATAACAAAATAATGCCAGTAGGGGGTCAGTAAGCCATTCATAATGTTACAAAAGATTTCTATTTGAAATAAATGCTGTTCTGTTTGAACTTTCTATTTATTAGAAAATACTAAAAATAAATAAATAAATTGTGTATCACGGTTTTCACAAATATATCGAGCAAATCAGCATATTAGAATAATTTCTGAAAGATCATGTGACACTGAAGACTGGAGTAATGATGCTGAAAATTCAGCTTTGATCACAGAAATAAATTACATTTAAACTATATTCAAGTAGAAAACTGTTATTTTAAATATTAAAAATATTTGTACACAATATCACTGTTTTTACTGGATTTTTGTTCAAATAAATTCAGCTCTTGTGAGATTTTATTATTATTTTTTTTTTTTCAATATTAAAAAAAATCACATTAAATTTACATAAAAAAATCTTTCTGACCCTAAACTTTTCAACAGTAATGTACATGTGTTTTTCAGTTCTTTGCCTCTGAGACTGACAGGTCATTTTGTGTGAGACAGGATAATTCGCTTGAGTACGGAAAAAGAAACAGTCGGAGTGGCATGTTTCGCATAGTGCCAAAGTTCAAGAAAGAGAAAGCCCCAAAGAAGTCCAGCCCACAGTCAGGTAAGTGTGTGTGTGTATGTGTGTGTGTGTGTGTGTGTCCACATATACTTGAATATCCTCACAAGAGATGGACACTAAAATCATGGATGCCTCACGCTTTGTTGCATTCATAGTCATGTAAAAGTGTTGTAGTGTCACATTTTGCTGTTTTGATTGGAAAAGATGCAAAAGCAGGACACTGAGACTGAACTTGTTTTTTATTTTTATTTTTTTCAAACAATAATGGTTCGTGATTGCTGACAATGTGGGGACTGTTAAAGGAAGTGATGGCCCATGGAGTCAGTGACATGATGATAGAGAGTGCCATACATGCTGTACATCCTCTTCTGAGAGGACTCTCTGTTCATGTCCAGTGGTCCTCAGTCCAACCCAACCATCCATGAGCACCCCTACACTCCTCTGGTCATGGTGTTGTCCTGTGAGTCAGAAACAGTCCATGTGTCTACACATGAACAGCAGGCACAAAACAAGGTGTACCGCGCAGAAGGGGAACAACACAAACCCAAACATGTCATACTGCACATGTGCTACACATGTAACGCTTAAAGGTGAAGTGTGTAATTCCTGTCACAGGCAGCAGTGAGTGGACAGAAATGTGTGAAATAAGGATTGTTTTCCAAACAGGTGTCCCAAACACTCCTTCCACCCAGACTCCCGCCAAACCCATAGTCCAGTTGAAGCAGACATTGACATATTGAGCCACTCAAACAAACGGAACTATGTTTGGAAAGTGCCACAGTGTTTATAACAGTCTTTTGTAGCCAGACTTTCTTCATGAAGTCTGGTTTATACGGCAGAGACTGTCGGACTGACACATGCCCAAGATCATTTGTGACCCTGGACCACAAAACCAGTCTTAAGTTGCACAGGTATATTTGTAGCAATAGCCAACAATAGATTGTATGGGTCAAAATGATCGATTTTACTTTTATGCCAAAGATCATTAGGATATTAAGTAAAGATCATGTTCCATGAAGATATTTAGTAAAGTTCCTATCGTAAATATATCAAAACCTAATTTTTGATTAGTAATATGCATAGCAAAGAACTTCATTTGGACAACTTTAAAGGGGATTTTCTCAGAATTTTGATTTTCAAATAGTTGTATCTCGGCCAAATATTGTCATACATCAATGGAAAGCTTATTTATTCAGCTTTCAGATGATGTATAAATCTCAATTTCCAAAAATTGTCCCTTATGACTGGTTTTGTGGTCCAGGTAACATTTTCTTTTTTTTTTCATAATGGTAAAAAAACTCAAATATATTTTTATCCTCCAAATATTGGCAAAAATGTATTATTGAATGAATAATAAAAAAAAAAATGTACTGTATATTTTAAACATTATTATTATTATTATTATTATTAATGTGTATTTTACACATTCATATTATTCTTAATAATAGTAATTTTTGCATAAAATAATTTTTATGTGTTTTTAGTGTTTTCCTTGATTTCATATTAGCTGGTGAAAAAAGTAATTTCAAATGATTATTATTATTATTATTATTAGCAATTAATTAACTAATTAATTATAAATAATAGTAATAACAATAATACAAATATATTAGTGCAGATTATTTATTAGTGCAGATTTAATGGCACTAACCTTGAGCGACTAATTCTTTCTGGAGTTGTCTGCACATAAAACAAATTTAAAAATAAATAAATTACACACATCACCTTTACTCCTTGTTGAAACAGACCAGATTTCTGAGGATAGTGCATACTTGGTACATTCTTTCCAAAAAGGATTGCAAGGTAATCAAAGTAGACTCTCTACTTGTTTACAAAATATAATCCATCATATTCTTTGACATTTTCAGGCGTAGTTATCCAGGGCAAATCTGCACGCGTCCACACTCTTAAATTGAACGTAGGCTTTAACGTGTCCGTCTGCTACGGGGATTTAACATGCCATCAACAACAACAGAGCGCAGTGTATTTTCTTCCTGCCAGCGGACGATCCGAGCACAGGAGCGTTAGGTCGCACAGGCTTCAGCCTCCCGTTCCCTCCTCCTCCTCCTCTCTGTCTCTGTGTCTGCTCTTAATGGGATGATGGTGGACGTGCCACTGTGATAACCTGCATGCCAGAAACGCCTCTGGGTGTGCCAGTGACCAAATCGAACCTGTTTAACCCCCTCTTTGCCAGCTGCTGCCGCCACTTTTCTCTGTGTCTTCTTTTTCCTGTTTGATTTGATTTTGGTCCCCTTTTCCTTTTGTGGTTGTTTTTGACTTGTTCCTCCTCTCGGCCTGACCCTGTTTGCTTGTGTCCTGTGAGTGTACGGGGGTTGGACACTGAAGGGGGCTTCTCGCTCTGTACTTGTGTAGTTCAGAGGTGGGGCACTGAGGAGGTGGCCGCCTGGCTGGAGCAGCTCAGCTTGGGAGAATACAAAGAGACCTTCATCCGCCACGACATCCGCGGCTCCGAGCTCCTGCACCTGGAGAGGAGAGACCTCAAGGTATACACACAACCCCTTTCTGTGCCTCACGATGTCCCTCAGATCAACCGAAACGCTCTTTCTCTGTCCATCTCGCTCTTTGACTCTCTCTCTCTCTCTGTCATTTTACCTGTCACCCTGTTTGCTATTATGTGCTGCACTGCTCTGCTTGGCTTCCTCTGTGCAAGTGTCCTTCGGGTCTCCGAATACTTCCACAACTAACCGCCTGATGCACGTAGGGTTATTTTAAGTGGGCTAGGCTTGAAAGACGCTAGCGGGGCTCTGAAGATGCGGTGGTGTGATGGGCAGCTCCACACTGACATGCCTCTGTTTGTGTAGCTCATGAGTACAGTCAACATGTTTATGTGTGTGTGTGATTCGGGGAATGCTTTGAACAAATCAGGCCCTGTTTACACTTGGTATGAACATCCGTTTCAGGTGATCTCATCAGAAGTGATCGTAAGGGGAAGATCTCGAATTTCTTGACTACTTACAATACCGTTCAAAAGTTTGGGGTCTGTAAGATTTTTAAAATGTTTTTTTAAAAGAAGTCTCTTCTGCTCACCAAGTCTGCGTTTATTTGATCCAACAAAAAAAAAACACAATAAAAACAGTAATATTGTGAAACATTACTACATAATTTTAAATAACTGTTTTATATTTGAATATATTTTGAAATGTAATTTATTCCTGTGATTTCAAAGCTGAATTTTCAGCATCATTTCTCCAATCTTCAGTGTCACATGACCCTTCAGAAATCATTCTAATATGCTGCTTAAGAAACATTTATTATTATTATCAGTGTTGAAAACACTGTAATATTTTGTGGAAACCGTGGTACTTTTATCAGGGTTGTTTTATTTGAATCAGAAATCATCATATATGTATTTACTGTCAATGGCACCCTTGCTGAATAAATATATTAATTTCTTAATAAAATGTCTTACTGACTCCAAACTTTTGCTAAACAGTGTCACTAATTATGTCACAGTGTTTCTGCATGTTGACAAGGCGGTATAAAGGAAAAACAAGTACTGAAATGTTGGCACATTTTTGCCATAATTCTGACGTTTCAAGCTGTATGCATTATTTTCGTTGAGAAACTGTATTATATTAACTTCAGATGTGTTTCACATGATTTATTCACTAAACTCATTATTTGTGTCACTGCATTTGACAGTCGTTCTCAACTGGTGTCTCCTGACACAAACAGTCACAGGTCTGGTCTGAAATGCAAATTTAAAAAATCATATTAAAATGCATTGTTATTATAGGAAAATATCAACTTTTTAAGAGAGGAGAAAACGCCAGCAAAACCAATTGAGACCTAATAATATAATATAATTACACTACAAATGCAATGCTGTCATGTACTTTTCTCCACATGAAGTTTGAGTCCTGAGATGCAATTATGAGATGTAAACAGGGCCTCATTTACAATGGTTTACCGGTTATAGCTGTATAGTTGAGCTATTTCAAACGATAAATCTGTCTAGGATTATCACTTGAATGGTCCAATATATTATACAATTTAGCACAGTGATAGAGCACTATAAACGTCCTCACCAGAAACTCGGTGCTTTCATGTGCACTTGATGCAGAAATAAATATGTCATAATACGTTCAATAAATATATTATAAATCCTCATGAGTCACACCTCCCAGTGAATAATTACATAAAGTGTTGGTGAAAGCAGCTCAGTGTTGTGTAGTGCTGGATGTCTATGTGTGAGGTGCTCTGGTCACACTTATCACAAGCACTAGTGAACCTTGGACTGTGCCATTTTACGCCTCTGTTTTGTCCCCCCATTTCAAACATCCCTGCCATTTAGCTGGTCTAACCTTATTCTGTCTCTAGGGATGTCCTCAAACATTTTTTGAAAACTTAATTGGGACATAAATAGATCTGAGTGTTTCAGCTGTAAACCAGTCAAGCTCAAATTCAGCGGTATTGTGACATTTGCTGTCACTGGATCAGCTGCATTGTTTTAACCCGAGGTTAACCTGGGTTATTGTGTTTCGTTAACTATTGATCAACTGATATTGGTGTTGTAATGGCTGATGCTGATAGAAATATCTAGAGAGCAGAGTAGACGACGACCAATATAATGGCGATATATAATTAAATGAATAGCAAATATAGTACATAAATAGTTTAAATGGAAACTTACTTTAACATAATGAATCTGTATCTGTCTAATGCCTCGTTTAGATTAGCCTGACTGCCACTAGATGTCACTTTTTCTGTGGCCTTATCTCAAACCTACGACTTAGATGGTTTCATTATACTTTGGGGAGACACCTGGAAAACCGATCTAGCCTATACTTTTCACAAAAGGCCCAGATCTATCAGAAGTCCAGCAGATGATGCAAAATGAGGCGTTTTACATAATTCATCCTTTTGCTAACAAATAAATGGAATACCTCAGTGCGAGTGTAACACGGAGAAATAGTACACATTATTAATTTACATATACTACTGACATTGTAATGAATGAAATTTGTCATTACCCTTTAAGAAATGCGAGTATTTTTGTTTGAAAATGATCATTAAAGGGATAGTTCACCCAAAAATGATTTTTTTTGTTTATCTGCTTACCCCCAGGGCATCCAAGATGTAGGTGACTTTGTTTCTTCAGTAGAACACAAACGGAGATTTTTAACACAAACCGTTGCAGTCTGTCAGTCATATAATGGAGGTGAATGGGAATCACGGCTTTGAGAGTCAAAAAAACATACACAAACAAAACCAAATTAAACCCTGTGGCTCGTGACGATACACTGATGTGTAAAAGATGTGCAAGAAACTGAACAGTATTTATATAGTTTTTTACCTCTGATTCACGCAATGTCCGAACTGTTCGAACTCTCCTGAGCGGCGGCACGTCCTCCTGAGCGCGTTCTCAACAGCCGGGGCGTGAGGCGTCTTCTTCTTCGTGCTTTATGGCGGATCGCAGACTTATAAGTGCATTACCGCCACCTATCTCTCAAGTGGACCATTGACACTCTATCTACAATCTCAATTAGGAGTGTCAGTGGTCTACTTGAGAGATAGGTGGCGGTAATGCATGGGAAAAAAGCTTGTCAACGAACACTTTTCGTTACACAAAAAAAGCACAAAAAAAAATGGTAATAATGACAGACACAACATTTTCTGCAATCAAATGATATCGCTTGGAACATAAAATATTTAAATTCTATTTTAATATTTGTTTAAATTTTTTTAATGACATTTGACCTTGAACTTTATTTTAAGGTATCCCTGTTACAATGTAGTTAAACAAATCAGTGCTGAGTAATATTAATTAAAACCTGGACTTACTATAGCTTTAGGGTTAGGGTAAGGTGGTTTAGGATTGGTTGCTTGTAATTATGCAGAAGTTGCTGTTATTACTGTTATTACTGTTATTACTGTACTAAGTATCTGTGTGTAGCAAAGACACTATAATAAAGTGTTACCAAAATCTTATTGTTTTGAAACTGTGCTTTGAAAAACTCGGTTTAAACTTGGGTTAAACTGCAGCTTAGTCGGTTTATGATATCAATAGTGCAATAAAAATTTGTTTTATTCCGCAAAATAAAAGAAAGAATCCAAAAGTAGTTAAATGCAACAAGTAAAAAAAAATGCAACGATTTATACGTAACTTTTATACGTAACGCCTCATTCTGAGTGCACTTCTGTTTGTCTGATTCCTCTAGGATCTGGGGATCTCGAAGGTGGGTCATATGAAGAGAATTCTCCAGGGCACTAAGGACTTGGCCAAGAGTTCGATGGTGGACCTGTGAGAGACATCAACACACATTCCGTTCGTGAGAGAAGAGGAGTTGCAGAGGGAGCTCCGGAGTGGGAAGTGCTTTGCTGTCGTGGATCTCTGTAAGAATAGCTTGTAGAAAAGCTAGGGATGTTTGTTTTCGAGCAAGTGCTGGTGCCAAAACGACAAGGATTGTGTCCCAAGACTTTTAGACCCATAGTAAAGCCATTCCTCCCTTATCGCATCGACGGCACAATCAGGTATGCAATTCTCATCGTGCACGTGACCTCTGGCCTCTATTACAGATTCCAAATCAAGTAGCAGAACAGGACTTCCAAACCGAGAGGAGAGGAGCACATGGCCTCTGAGTAGCTCACTGGCTCTTTGCCTTGCGGTAGATGGCAACAATAGGAGGGCGATGTGATGTGTCAGCAATATTCTGCTTTTGACAGCACTGTTTACATTTTAAGGAGACGGGAAAAAGACTGCTGGAGTATCGCAATCATAGTAGTGCGGCGGTGCAGTCTAGGAAAGGTCAAAGGGGGTTTTCTTCGCCAGTGACATACTGATGCATGGTATGCTTGCTATATTTGGATAGCTGTTTTACTGCATGATCTGCGTCTTGTTTTTTATTGTACAAATTTACACTTGAACAAGTTTTATATGAATTTAGTATAATGCCATTTGTTACTACTGAAGCATCCCTTTGGTCTAAGTAGACTGCTGATTTATTTCTATTTATCTGTCTGCATGGAAACCTTGTGTCAAAGCAGTGTCATGTGCCATATTTATTGTCAGATGAACTTTATTGGTAAGAAATGTTTTAATCTTACAGTAGGACGTTAGGTAAGTCGGTGAAATAAGTACCAAAGCGAATGTCCCCTGGTTTATGTTCTTTAAAACATTTCAAGTTTAGTTTTCCCCGCAAATGGTCAAATCTGAAGTAGTTCAGAAAAACATGAACAAGGCGTCTCTTTGTAGCTTAAAACGTATTATTATACATTAGTTGAAATAGGACTTCTATTGTTTTGAATAAGAAATTGCAGTTGACCTGCAACATTACATAGTTGATATTTACTGAGTTCAGGAACCCAGTGCAAGTTTGATAGGATCATCTACATTTGGTTGGTGGCATTACAGGGTATAAGATATTGTTTGTTTGTTAATATATGCACTGTATATAAGTCTAAACTGTTAACTCCAGTTATGAGTAAAGCCTTTGTATAATAGAACGCTTACATGATATTATCAGATGACACATTTATTTGTGTATAGAGCACCATAACACCTTTGTGAATTATTCTGTTAAGTAATCGCCTTTACACGTTAAGTGCAGTTGTACTCTATGGAAGGTGCAATATTGTATTTATTTTGATACAGTTCTTCTCTATGAAGCTTTATTATGTGAGGTTTTTCCATGGAAAACTAAAAAGATAAACTTCACACATTTAATCAGTTTTGGATTAAGGCGTACTTTGGGTCAGACAAATCAGGCCATGTTCTCGCCAAAATTCATAAATCTTCCATAAGCAAATTGTTGATCCTGTCTAACCGTGCTTCCAGGATAATTTGCTAGACGGCTGGATGTTTCCTCACAGCGACTATAAAACTGTTGTGCCTCTATTTTTTCAGTAAAATGGAACATTCCGAGCTCGGAGCTACACGTAGTTCTACATAAGCCAACCCGACCATCAGTGCACCTGGGACTCATAACAGTGGATTTTTGTTGATGTTATATTATAATGTTCCTCTAGAGGGTGTTCGATAACATCATAGTAGTACTTGATATACATACAGAGCGAAAGAGAGTAGTGTCGAAAAAGATGTGGTGTTCCCAAACAAGAAATGCTATTCTACCCACAATTTACCTGAACTGAGAATTCAAACAAATATGGAGTCCCTGGAGGACTGGCTTTGGTCTGTTAGGTGGAACCGAGCAGGATGTTTTTAAAAAGAAAAATACACATTTGAAGAGTTTGGTGAGAGTTTAGGCATTCTTATCAAATGATGGGACTAAAAATTAGACTTAATTCACGACAGCATTCATTAATCAATTATAGATTACAACTGGTTTTGCTCCAGGATCCGGATTTCGCCTTCAGCGTCACATGGCGCCAAACGCAGGGCCGAATAGTTTATTGTACACAAAGGAATAAGAAAATGTCTTTAAAAGTCATTAATATTATCATGAACTGCATAGAACATTGACAATATTGTGAATGCGCAAACAGTACAAGTGTGATTTACACTTTTTATAGCTTGTGTGTTTGGTTTCTAAATGCTCTCGGCAGCCAATAATTCACCACATAAAACACATTATGGTCTGCACAAACCATGTTTATTCTTGTTGTAAGTGAACCCGTATTTAATGTAGTTTGGCCTTGTCCATATTGACATTATGTCTAGCCTCCACCAAATGAAAGATGAACTTAATACCCTCCAGTTTGATTGGACGCATAATGCTGGACGTACAAATTGAAAGATGAGGAAAACAATTTCTCCTCTCTTTTAAAAGTTGATAAGCCTTTTTATATTTCTATCCTAACTACACACAATTATACAGTTAATGGCATTCTAGCAGATGAGAATCACTGGCGTCCATAATAAAGACACAACAGTGCGGCCTGCTTTTATCAGCAATTTGTCCATTGCGGTTTAATTGGCAACTAAATGTATCTCACTTCCCGTCTTCTCTCATTAGTGAGCATCTGCTGAGGTTTCAGCATCTGCCTGTAGGCATTTCAGGTTAGCTGTTTAATCCATCGGCAGGCCCACATGAAATCTGCGCCAGCAGAACTCCGCGAAAACCTCTGCCCCTTTTTAAAACCCATTCACAGATATTTTCTCTAAAATCAATGCATCTGGGCTTATTCATAGGTGACAGAAAAATTAAAAAACTGTAATCTGATAAACATTTGATCCGACAATCAAATGGGCCATTTATAGCAACAGTTCTGTTTGTGGTTATATAAAATCAAAACCTATGTGCACATACGTCCACGCATTCCGAAACACAACTGAATGTACTGATATATGCTTATCAGATATGCATTTTTGAGTGACCGCATTATAAAAGGTAATTACCCCAACTAGCTAGAATCATTACCAAAGACACAAGATCATTTCCAGAACACTACAAAGCTCCCCGAAGCCCGGTTTAATTGGCCTTAACATGATCTCTTTTTGACAGCTATAGCAGATCGACCTTGTATATGGTGCCTCTGTATAGGTCATTTGTTCACAACAGACTCAAATCACACAAGTGCAGTCTTCCTCTCATTGCCACACTAAACACATGTGCACATGATCACATGAACCTCAGTTCAGTTCTCAAGCCAACACATGAGTGTTTTTCATTGGACTATGAGTGACGATGGGCTTCGGCTTATGGCGAACGTAAAGCTGTAAACTGCCTGGTTTTTCAAAAACAAATTAATTTGAGGAATTTGTAGAGCAAGGTAACATCTTTGACATGATTAAATCAAGTAAGAGAAGCGTGATGCGAGTTTCATTTGTTTACATTGTGTTCACAATGGCACAGTTTCATTTTTAAGACTACATGTATAGGTATATTTACAATACTTGCATATTTATTAAGGTTAAACAACTGATGTGTATGTGTTTTCACTATTGGGATATAATGTTATGGTAGTCACTTGTATTGATATCTGGATGATTTTGGTAAGTAGTAGGTAATTTTTATGACTACTAAGTGACTGTTTTCTGTGCCTTTTTATCGTAGATGCATGGTTAACTATTTATTACAATATGGAGGTCACTGAGATGTGTATTTTTGTATCCTGATTAAGTGTTTCGATTTTGATGTACATTTTGAGGTGGTAAAACGCTGCCAGTTGATATCTTCCTTCTTCAATAAAATTGAATGCATACACAATCTGTGTCTTGGATATTTGACTTATTAATTTGAATGTGTAAGTACATTAAATATGCATTAACACATCATAGAATTAACACAATGGAATAATAGACTTAGTTTTCAATAATGCCATATATTATATTATGGTAAGGATTTTGTGTTAGGTCTGTGACAACATTATTATAAAAACAAATATTACAATTGTGCTTAAAAACAACAAAGAAGTGGATACGGCTAAGATTTTGAGAGATGGAAGCCTGTTAGTAATATGTAAAACAGAAGAACAAAAAAACAAAGCACTAAAAATTGATAATGTTTGCAAGAAAAAAGTGAATGAAAGGAAGATGTTGGGTGAGAGACGAATGAAACAGGGAGTGATAACAGGCATTCCAATCGAAGAAGATCTAGAAAGGCTCAAACAAAGTATTTCTGGAGGTGAAGTGAGTACAATAAAAAGGTTGAAAAAAACAATGAATGGGGAAAGGGTTGATAGTTTATCAGTTCTTTTGGAGTTTCAGGATTCAGTGCTTCCAGAAAGAGTCAAAATTGGATATATGAGCTATGCAGTGAGGCCATATATTCCTCCCCCACTCCGCTGTTTTAGATATCAGAGATATGGACATATGCCAGCGGTGTGCAAAGGAAAACGAAAATGCCCTAAGTGTGGAGGGGATCATAAAATTGAAAATTGTGAAGAGAAGGTACAAGACAAGTGCTGTAATTGCGGGTGGCGACATAGGGTAACATACAGTGGATGTAATGTAAGGAAGAGAGCTGTGGAAATTGAACAAGTGAAAGTGGTAAACAACATAAGTTATGCAGAGGCAGTGAAGAAGGTCCAAGAGCAAAGGAGAAGTGATGATACTGACAAAGATAAGGACATCTCGAGACAAGAGGTTGATCAAGCAGTGGAAAGCAGCACAAATCTGACAGTGGATAGGCTGATTTTGTTTATTGCTTATGTAATTAATTGTACGGACCAAGTCAGACACAAAACAGAGAAAATTAAAATAATTGTGAAGGGAGCTGAAACTTTTTTGGGTATAGACAACATATCTTGGGAAAATATCAATAAAAGGCTGGAAGTTGATGGGAAGTCGGGAGATGCAGGTGATAAGACAACTTGAATATTGTACAATGGAATGCAAGAAGCTTGTTAGCAAATGGTCAAGAGTTTAAAGGTTTTATAAAAGGGTTTAAAAAGAAACCAGAAATCATATGCATTCAGGAAACCTGGCTTAAACCAGTTTTAGATTTTAGTATTAAAGGTTAAGATAGTATACGCAGGGATAGAGAGGAAGATACTGGGGGAGGGTGTATAATATTTGTAAAACAAGGAATACAATATAAGGTTTTAGGGAAAGGAAAGGAGTTGGAATTTATAATAATAGAAGTATTGGGAAAAAAAGGAAATGTTAAAATTATAAATTTTTTATAATCCATGTAAAAGATTATCACTAGAGGTATTGGATGAATTGATTGTATACATTTAGAAGGGAAAATCATATGTTGCGGAGATTTTAATGCTCATAGCACGTTATGGGACAATTGTAAAGATGGGAATGGAATAGTGATTGAAGAATGAATGGAGATTAAGGATTTAGTATGTTTAAATGATGGAAGGGGAACAAGGATTAATGTAAGAAAAGGAACAGAAGCAGCTATTGATCTTACACTTGTTTCAAATTCACTGGCGGGTATATGCTTATGGGAGGTGTTTAGAGAAACGACT